TACCACGGCAAAGACTTCAGAGATGGGTTTTTTTTTTTTTTAATACCGGTTCATTTTTTTTTTGTTTGTTTTTTTTTTGTTTTTTTTTAACTTCTGGTTTCAAAATGTTTTTTTTACTCACACATAGTTTCAGACACTGAAGCTTTTTCAACCTTTATTAGCTGTGTTAAAGTGTAATATATGTATCAAACAGTTGCAGACGAGGATTCCATGTAAATATCAAGCCATTACTTATATATGAAGTTAACTAAATAAATCTCTCTTTCAAATGAATTATTACATTTTATGCGGCCGAGGGTGTGACTTTAAAAGGACACCAAATTTACTAACACCTGCCTGAAATATTGAAAAAAAAAAATACAACAGCAATGGTATTCGACTGGATTTAAAACTTTATTTCCACTGCTGATCCAAGTGTCAATTATGGTAAAAAATCATGCCTTTATTCAATTTTTTTTTTTTAGAAACATGGTTTTGGTCTATTTAAGATATGTATTCAAAGTGACATATCCATTATAACCACGAATAAGACTACCGTTATATAAGAGACTAATAAGAGTCTAAACAGTGTCAACACAGAAATTAATGCAAAAAAGAAATAATAATATAACATTTATATAAATAATAATACTGCATACACTGTTGTTCTTAAAAGCAAAATTGACAGTAAAAAAAAAAAAAGAAAAAAAAAAGGCAAATTAGATTAGATTAAATCGGAATTGTGTCACTTGGACCATGCTGTATATAACCAGCCACGGTTATTCAATATCGCTCACCTCAAATGTGCTCCCTGTGCTATCAAACTCTGGAGGCACAAATAAGCCCTCAGGATCATCTAAAGGACAGAAACACAAAAACCTATCATGATAGTTATCAGAGATGGAGACTCTACCCTCGTTTGCCGATCCGTCCTTCGTCCGCGACCTGAGCACCCTTCCGTCATCCTCCCTCCGTCCTTATTCATGAAATAATCGTCCTACCTCCCCGTCTGTCCTTATCATTTTTAAAGCACTTCCGTCCTTACATCAGTCCGCCTGAAAAAAAAGCATCCGTGCATGACGCAGAGGGTGAGAGGCAAATGGCAGAGGTTTCATTGTTAATAAATATTATTTAAAACTCATTAGCTGGCTTGTATGGCAATGTGAGTTCCACTTCTAACACTATGTAGAGAGAGACGTGGAGAGAGAGTGAGAGAGACAGAGAGAGAGAGAGAGAGAGCGAGAGAGAGAGAAAGACAGAGACAGAATTCCATAGAAGTTATAGCCTTGGATTGTTTATGTAAACAAATACAATAACCAACCTGTTGTCTGGAAAGACCATTTGCCTTTATAGCAGTGTTTACAGTAAAGTCTTTGCTCATCTCATAGGAACTCTGTCTTTTGGATTTTGAGTGGTGCCAAATTGCCTCACCGCTCTCTTGTCCATCTGTGGAAAGATATGGAGAGGAATGGGTCAAGTCAGAAATCATTACAGAGATCAAATGTTGACACAACGAGAGGGAGCCGACGGAATGACCTTGGAAATTTGATATTGATTCAATGGAGAGCACACGCCGTCCAACGGAAGACAATTTACGACACACAGCCGCAGACGAGGTGTGGGGCAGCCGTGTTTGAGCCTGAAAGAGGATGTCCTGGGGTATTGCCACAAAAGATTGAACATAAAAACAAACAAAAAAACCCCATTGAAGTCACAATGAACATGTGCAGATAATTGTCTGTAGCATACTGACTCATTTAGACATTTAACTTGCTAAGGTAATAAGATATATTGACTATAAAATTCTACGACTAATCTAGTCCGCAATATGCAGAATATCACATGCCCAAACCTGGAAAACGGGTGCGAGGGCTTCCTGTGTATTCAAGAAAACAGGTTGATGACATGATTGTTTGAAGCAGAATTTGCTTAAATAAATAATTAATAAATACAATTTGACCGAGGGAAGGAAATAAACAACGGAGACAATGCGGTTGCACAAGTGTGCATGCCCTCTTAAAACTGGGGATGTGCCTGGGTTCAGAATCAACCCATCACATTCATCCATTTATTTTCTAATCCGCATATCCTCACAAGGGTCGCGGGGTGTGCTGGAGCCCAGCCGAGCTGTCTTCGGGCAGTAGGCGGGGCACACCCTGAACTGAACTGGTTGCCAGCCAATCGCAGGGCACACATAGACGAAAAACCATTTGAGCTCACACTCACAACTAGAGACAATTTAGAGTGTTTCATCAACCTGCCACGCATGTTTTTGGAATGTGGGAGGAAACGGGCGTACCCGGAGAAAACCCACGCAAGCACGAGGCGAACATGCAAACTCCACACAGGAAGTCCGGAGCCGGAATCGAACCCTGCACATCTGCACTGTGAAGCCGACTCGCTAACCAGTCGACCACCAGGCCACCCTCCAATAGTAATATTCAGACTTTATCCTGTCTGTGTTCTTCTTTTTCCCTTTTCAGTGGCCCAAACTCCTTTGATTTGTCATAATAATATTTTATAAACATGTATCACATACTAATGCATACTATAATAATATTTATATTGAAAAATATGTTTTCCTGGTTAAGAACAGTGAACCTGTATGAGTGGTCTATCCTCTGGTTTCTTCTCCTGCATTTTCTCCAACAGCTTTTGAGTTTCTTCACCCAGCTCAGCTTCCAGTTCGGGTTCGATCACAAAAGTCAATGCAGCCGACAGAGTTGAGCCCAGAGAAAAAACATGGCCCTGGATACCAGCACAAAGAAGAACTTAGAATTCAGGTGCCTTATGAATACTTTCACTTAGAAAGGTATGTCTGTCATCTAGTTGATTGTACCACTGCAAAGACTTCAGAGATGGGGTTTTTTTTTTTTTAATACCGGTACATTTTTTTTTTGTTTGTTTTTTTTTTGTTTTTTTTTAACTTCTGGTTTCAAAATGTTTTTTTTACTCACACATAGTTTCAGACACTGAAGCTTTTTCAACCTTTATTAGCTGTGTTAAAGTGTAATATATGTATCAAACAGTTGCAGACGAGGATTCCATGTAAATATCAAGCCATTACTTATATATGAAGTTAACTAAATAAATCTCTCTTTCAAATGAATTATTACATTTTATGCGGCCGAGGGTGTGACTTTAAAAGGACACCAAATTTACGAACACCTGCCTGAAATATTGAAAAAAAAAACAAAAAAAAAAAAAACACAGCAATGGTATTAGACTGGATTTAAAACTTTATTTCCACTGCTGATCCAAGTGCCCAATTATGGTGAAAGATTATGCCTTTATTCACTTTTTTTTTTTTTGAGAAACATGGTTTTGGTTTATTTAAGATATGCATTCAAAGTGACATATCCATTATAACCATGAATAAGACTACCGTTATATAAGAGACGAATAAGATTTATATAAATAATAATACTGCATACACTGTTGTTTTTAAAAGCAAAATTGACAGTCAAAAAAAAAAAAAAAAGGCAAATTAGACATTAAATCGGAATTGTGTCACTTGGACCATGCTGTATATAACCAGCCACGGTTATTCAATATCGCTCACCTCAAATGTGCTCCCTGTGCTATCAAACTCTGGAGGCACAAATAAGCCCTCAGGATCATCTAAAGGACAGAAACACAAAAACCTATCATGATAGTTATCAGAGATGGAGACTCTACCCTCGTTTGCCGATCCGTCCTTCGTCCGCGACCTGAGCACCCTTCCGTCATCCTCCCTCCGTCCTTATTCATGAAATAATCGTCCTACCTCCCCGTCTGTCCTCATCATTTTTAAAGCACTTCCGTCCTTACATTTCATCAGTCCGCCTGAAAAAAAAGTATCCGTGCATGACGCAGAGGGTGAGAGGCAAATGGCAGAGGTTTCATTATTAATAAATGTTATTTAAAGCTCATTAGCTGGCTTGTATGGCGATGTGAGTTCCCCTTCTAACACCATGTTTTGACACAAATTATTGAAATAAATGGACTTTTCCTCAATATTTTCATTTTCTGGCACCCACCTGTGTATATGCGTGTTGTTGCCATAGACTCACCGCTGAGTTGTTCCATAAAGCAAACATTCCCATGTGCATTGAAGGCCAGAGTGTCTGGGGTGATGCACAAAGTGTGGAAGAGGTGGGAGGGTCGAATGCTCTGCAGAGCCAGGACACACTCCGCACACACTGCCCACACGTCCTCCTCAGACAGACAGCTGTCTCGCAAAGTCAGGATGTCTGCCAGAGACACATTCTCCTGGAGACAAACGCTTATAGTTATGTCCATATAAGCAAACACAAGCCTTGATGTGAAAGAATGGTCACACACTACTACCGGCATTTTTCGAAATACTGAAAATTCCGTATTGTAGTTTCAGATGTAGCTGGTACTGCTGAAACCACAATCATAAATATCAGTGTTAACCAAAATTTAATTTTTTTTTCCTAGCCATTATCTGCAACCCAAATAGTGCCATGAAAGTAATGAAAATCATCACCCCCCCCCCAAAAAAAGCCCTGACTTTCACGAATAAAGTGAATTCTAAAGGCTTTTCACTACAAGCACAACTTTTATATCCCATGTGACTTTTCTAAGATCCATGCATTATCGATACCACTTGTCCTCAAGTAGCATCACAGGTAACTGCAGCCATTGCAGGCTGATACAAGGCAATAGGAGGGGAATGACCTGGACTGGTCGACAGTTAAATTGCAGTGTAAACATTTAGTATTGCTGGTGAGAATAAGATTATATTAGGCTGAAGCCATTGAGGGCAGCACAGTGGTGGTTAGTTTAGCTGCCACACAATTAAGAGTTCCCAAACTAAAAATCTCAGTTCAGACTTGCCCGTGTGGAGTTTTCATGCTCCCGGCATCTTTTCATGGGTTTCTTCCAGGTTAGTTCATCTTTTTTTCCCACCCCACAGTCCAAAAACATACAAATGAGATTAATTGACGATTATATTTGCTCCTATGATTGATTGTGCATGTGAAGATTTATATATGCATGCGCTTTGACTACCTGCTGACCAGTCCATGGAACTCCTCGACTCTTGCACAAGGTCAACTACAGTAAAATGACAAAAATGTTTCCAGATCACCAATGCCCCTAGTGAGGACAGCGGTGCAGAAAAAGAATGGCTGATGCAAATTCATTGACAACAATAACAACAATAAGTACTTCTTGAACACAAACAACTATCGTGATGCTACAAGCAGAAAATACCGAATTTTATTCAATAGCAAGGCCATTTGGCACAATGTTCACCACATCCTCCACATGTAGACGACACCATGAAGTGATTCTACACACCCCCACAGTAATGTGAGTCATCTGTGAGCTGCAAATGGCCTCAGTTTTCATGGCTAGCATGTTCAATATAGAATCAACCGTACTAATGTATTTAATGGCTCCATTAAAAGTGACTTTCAAAGGTATGAAGAAGAAGTGTGGCTCACCCCCACCTGCATCCACCCCGACTTCACTGTTTAAGGGTGTGTGTATGGTAAAGGTAATGGAAGCATCACCACAATTGTCACATCCTCCTACTGGTCTATGTATTGGATCGAACTCTTTATTATCCATCCAGCCATGACCCAAGCTAATCTTATTCTACAAATGAAAATAATATAATATGTATCTATCTCAATGCATGCCCAGTTGTCACTGAATGGGCTCCATTAAAAGTGACTTTCAAAGGTATGAAGAAGAAGTGTGGCTCAGTTTTGCATTTAGAACTCTGTATTCATGTGCTCTGACAAGATGATCGGGCACAGAAATCTATAAATACACATTTTCCCTTGAGAATAATACAAAGAAAGCCAGAAGTCCTATACGCTGTCCCACATAAGTTTTGCTTTGAGTCGAGCATGCTGGGGAGAGTGGTCATGGTCTTTCTTCTGTATGAGCTTCTGAGATAAACAGTGAGAAATACTGCAGAACTCACAGATGGTGTGTGATTTTACTGTGTAATTGTGTTAGTGGGAGTTTTTGTGGATGGTGGGAGTTATCTTTGGCAACTGGGCTTGAAACAATCAATTGAGTCAAAAAACCAAATGTAACTGGTCGCCTGCAATTCTTTCGGTTAGATGAAAAGCTCAGCTAAAATGTTATCCATCAAATTCCTCAACTATCAATAGTTTCGATCTGCCCCTTGTCCAGACAACAAATGACACTCAACTGAAAATGTTGAGGCTTCACTACACCGAACACACACGTTTGTGTGTATATAAACAACAATAACTGATATTGTGTAGCACACCACTGTTTTGAAATCCTCAAAAATTTGCAAGGGAGCTTCAAGAACCGAAAAAGCTGAGGTGATAACCTGACAACCAATGCGCAAGCCTCACCACTGGGCGAGTTGTTGTTGACACAGTATTATCGACAGACAATGAAAACTACGTGATCAGCCAGATAATTATTGAATGGCGTTTTATCGGAAATTTACTAGTGAGATGACCGTAGTTCAAACTCCATAATGTTTGTGTTTTTATTGTGCAACCCCACCTTAGGGCTTGTAATTCATGTCATGCTAGTATGAATTTGTTTTGTCCGCAGAGACTAAACCACCTGTAAACTGCATATGTATTATCGTGTGCAATTTGTGCTCCACTATGCTTCTCAGTCCTAGTTCGATTTACGACGACGTACCTCATCTTCGAGCAGGGGAGGCAGGTGGTCCATTTCATAGTATGCGTCTTTCCATGAAGTCTCCATTGCAGCAACTTTAGTTCTACCGAGTGAGGGTTTTCCTGTCACAGACAACGGCGACCGCAGTGATGCATGAGCCCCCCACAAAGAGCAGCGCCGAGTTCGGTCCAGCAGCTGATGGTGGCCACACAGGTCAAAAACAACCAATACGCGGAAGAATGCTCAGTGTTAGGCTTGTATTGCGAACATCTTACTGCAGTCAAGCTAACCCCCCACTTTGGTCTCTCTCTCTCTCTCTCTCTCTCTCTCTCTCTCTCTCTCTCTCTCTCTCTCTCACTCACACACACACGCGCGCACACACACGCTCGCAAGCACGCTTACCGCACGCACGCACCCACGCGAGCAACAAACCTACTCGCATGCACATTCGTGCGCACACTCCCACATCTATCTATCTATCTATCTATCTATCTATCTATCTATCTATCTATCTATCTATCTATCTATCCAGTACAGTACAGTACACGGTAAATATATACACTGATATGATTTCAAAATAAAAGCAAATTGAAATGGCTAGATTCTAATTGATTGAATGGATTTGCTGGCTTTATGCTCATATTTCTACCATTTACAATTTATTTGCATTTCTAAGGCACTCAGGTTTGATTGGAACTTCCATTTTGATATGTTTAATTTACTTTATATACTTTTGTATATTCATGTTTAGCTGTTGATATCTTGTATTTATTTTGTTATTTATTTCTGTGGCGATTGTCACAGAATTGCATTCATCCACACATCCATGTTCTTTGATGATTATCTTTAGTATTACTTGATGGTGGCACGTTCGCCTCACAGTGCAGAGGTCATGGATTCGATTTCAGCCCCGGCCTTCCTGTGTTGAGTTTGCAATCTCTCCCCTTGCCTGCGTGGGTTTTTTTCTGGGTACTCCGGTTTCCTCCCACATCCCATGATCATGCACAATAGGTTAATGTGTGTGCAGCTCCTTTTTTTTGTAGTGAAAAAAAATATCATAACATCAGTTTTGGTCAAAATCAGTGCTTTTTTGATTTTTTTTCAATACTAAATAAAGTTTAACAAGGCTGCTGTGGGTCGTTTGCTCACTTCAATTGTTTTTTGCTGCTTTCAATCAAGAAGCCAGTCAGAACACCCCCTTGACATGTGCTCCTCTTCTTTTCTACTAGTCACGGTCGCCCTAAACACAGGTCACCGACTGTGCCTAAGGCCTCATCGTCCATGGGGGGCACGTTTTGTGTGAGGAGAATTCACCCACAATGGATGTGGATATGCGCAATGCATGTTGATATGCGCACCAATTTCACATTAGCACTCCCGTGAAGTGGCCAAATTACCACCATTTGCTTATGGAAATAGAGAGGCAATTGCTGTGTCCAAATTCGTAGGCTGCGTCCTCCAAATTAGTCGGCCACAGCCGGCACATGAAATAACTTCCATGTCCTCTCCTTCTAGCCTTCAAATCTGGCCTAGTTGTGGTTAATTATAGATATGAAATCCCATTACCGCCAGTTAAAACAAAAATAAATCTCCTGCTTGTACAGTATACACTACCTACCAGAGAGATCTCATGTACACTCATTGTCTTGTGTCACACCATTTGCTATTTCTGTGCGCTAACCTGTCAAAGGTTGTTATTTACTGACATGATAATGTTGCTTGTAATATGTGTTACATTGTTTTCCTGGATAATACCTGAAGACTTATCATTTGTATCATGGTTATTTCCATTACAGAACTGCAAATTTGTTTTATAGTGGATGTATTCCCCTATAGTTTGGTATGATTTGGTTTTCTACTTTTCTTTCCCCAATGCAGCTTCTGAGCATCCAATCAGTTTTTGCACAGTGGAAAATAGAAAAGTTGATACTGGCTGTTTTTGTGATCTCTGGTTCTCCCCAAAACTGTTAAATTGCACATTTTCATTGAGGTCGGGTAAGCCACACATGTATAATCATTATGATGTATAAACAGCATCTTGCTATGACACACCTGTAGTATTGATCGATTATTTTGGAAAAGGAGAAGTGCTCACTTATTCAGATTAGATTTGTGAACAGTGGCAAGAAATGAGAAAGGCAGATGAAAAAATGAGAACTAAAGTGTTACGTTTATATTTTTGTTCAATATTATAAAAAAATGGTTGTTTGTTTTTGGTGATTGCTATTTGGATGGCCACTCACCCATATTAATTGACAATTGTGTGATGAAATTTGTTGTCTGGGTATGTATCAGCTGAGAGATGCCGGCTGTACAGTATTGAGTCAGATGCTCGAGCGAGGCAGGGGGAACCTTTGATTTGTTGACTGTTCATCGTGGCATGTTGCGATAATAGGAAAATAATGTTTCTACAGCAGCCCGGTCATTAATATGATCAATTTCCTGTATATCTCTCTACTGACTTATTACTTGAGAAACAAGCGGCGTATCTGATGCTATTGGCTTTCTGGAATTTAATCAGACAACTTTTTATCTTTAAATTGATTAATGTGGAATTGCTGAATCACTCACACAGCTGCAGAACATACACAGATGCACAGACAATAAAACACTATCTATAACTGATTTTACTCCTCAGACTGCCGGACACTGCCCTTTTACTTACTTTCTATGTATGCCATTCTGCAGACATATTTGACATGCTGTTTCGTGGATATGATGTAGGCCGACCTATGCACACATATCTTCTGACATACAAAGTATTACACACACACACACACACACACACACACACACACACGCACACACGCACATGCATGCACGCAAGCACACACACGCAGCATTTGTGAGGGAATGCATGTACTGTATATAAATACAGTATATATATATATTTTTTTTTTTACTTTTTGTACCCTAGGTTGCAGTCATTCAACAAAATAAACAATAACAAATAAACACTCAAACTTACCTTGGTATCAGAGTATGAATAATATTGGCCTTAACTTAATAAATCATACTGTGTATCAAAGAAAAAAAAACACTCACACTTATTATTAATTCCAAAAGCAAAACATCAATGAAAAAAGCTCTTTGACAATAAATGTGTGTCATTGTGTTGCTTGTTATTCTCCTACTTTGCCATCAAAGAGGGGAAAAAACGGCTTTGCGTATTGTAACCTTGTAGGCAGCAGTATGATAGGAATCAAAGCTGGTGACCACTACTTTAGTCAGTAGTTGGGCAATTGTGTTTCCTTTTGAAAATGTAATGAGCACACAAGGTGGTGTCTGTCATATCTGTTCTAATGGCTTCTCACGACGGAGCAATCCGTTTTAGTCTTTTACATTCTATTACCAATTTCACCACAAGACGGCGGTAGTGTATAGAGAAAACGCTGAACATCATTGCATTTACACCGACGGTCAGCTTTTCCTCAGAGTGTAATATCACTTTGTGAATTTTGATTCCTGTAGTACCACTTTATTAGGGACGATTTTCTTTTTTTTTTTTTTTACTGACATAAATTGACAACACTCTTTATTAACAATATCATTCGCGGCTGTTCTGCTTTTTTCTACTGAAGGAGGAGGTGGGGTGCTTGGCTGTTGTGTTAAGCGACTGTTGTGGCAGCCTCTGAGCCAGGGCTAAGAGGCTGCTACAACTCGCTTGTTTCAATAAAACCATCACATGATTCTGTGCTCCTTTGCAGTTGTACAAGGTTGCGTCACCAATGGGGAAAGCTATAAATAACAAAGACAGGCCGTGGGGGAGGGAAGGATGATATGGTGGATCACAGTCAAACACTAACATTACAGATTGGCAGCTATCGCCTGTCTCTGAATCCAGCGCATAGTGTTCATTTAAATTAAACAGTGCAGTAATATTCACGTAGTATTTGGTATGCATCACAACACTCCCAAAGGACTGAATGCATGAGGAAATTTGACAGCACATGGCTGTGACAAGTTATCGCAAATATTTTCATCTGGCGATGAAAAAAGCTCCTTCACACCAACGCCTGTGTGAGTTCTTTACTTGGCATTAAATACAGGGATAGTTGAGCAGTGGTGACTTGTGAAAAAAAAAGTGATATATAATAGTAGTTTTGATTATGTAAACTGAGTATGGGCAAATCTTCACAAATCCTCTCGGAGCACAACGGGAGCTACTTTTTTTTCCCTTTTCCCCTTTTTGCAGCCAGTAACTGTACAGTTGACACTGTCACCGACATTATTCCTTCTCCCTTCTGCACTACCTCTATTCTATTTGTCTCTGTCGAGACAGACAGCCGTGCCCGACTGAGCATCAGGTCTGTTGGAGGTTTCTTGCTGAGTGGGAATCTTTCCAACCTGTGTAGTCTCGTGTGAGAAGGTTGCAGAGATGCTCCATTATGTAAAGTACCTTGAGTAACGTCAGCGGTGAATTGTAAAATTGTAAAAAAGAAAAAAAAACATATACTGTATACATACAATCTAATACAGTATATATGTAATACAGTACAGTATATATATGCAGCCTGGTGATCCAGTGGTTAGCGCGTCGACCTCACAGTGCAGAGGTACTGGGTTGAATTCCAGGTCCGGCCTTCCTCTGTGGAGTTTGCATGTTCTCCCCGGGCCTGTGTGGGTTTTCTCCGGGTACTCCGGTTTCCTCCCACATTCCAAAAACATGCATGGCAGGCTTTGAACGCTCTAAATTGTCCCTAGGTGTGAGTGTGAGCGTGGATGGTTGTTCGTCTGTGTGTGTCCTGCGATTGGCTGGCAACTGGTTCAGGGCGACCCCCGCCTACTGCCCGAAGACAGCTGGGATGGGCTCCAGCACCAGCACCCCGCACGACCCTTGTGAGGATAAAGCGGATTGGAAAATGGATGGATGTACAGTATATATATACAGTATATATTTCTTTACCAGTGGATCCACATGTGAGAAACCCAAAAATAATTGGCTTTTGACTCAGCATGAGATGGCATTGTTTTAGTGTTTTATTTTGTTGACAGTTTTTATGTTATTAATTTGATTGCTTTAACTTGTTGTTTTAATATGTCAGTTTTATTTTGTGCACAGCACTTTATATGCATCTATGGTTGTTTGTAAAGTACTCTCGAAATGAAGTTGAGTTGAGTTGTTGATTGGTCAGCATCCATCTCATTTAGCCTTTTCATTTTAAGTCTGTTATTTCTGTTTTGAAATAATTTTACCAGTCGTCTATAGTGTTTTAGCTCTCTTATGTTCATAGGTGTACTATTTTTTAATTGTTTAATATATTCTCGTGATAATTAATGGTTCTCAGTGTTTTCTT